GCGTATAGACAAAAAGCAAAATTAACTCTTAAAAAAAGTTCTGTTTATAAAAATACTATTATATGAAAAATACACAAATAACAATAAAACAGCGAGAGAGAGAGAGAGAGAGACGATAACCACCAATCTACTCTCCTAATATCCACCAAAGAAAGTAAAAAATCATGTTAGTAGATTATTTTATTATCCTCTTTGGCGGAGCAACATTGGAAGTTCTTTTACGACAACACAATCACACTGGTGGTTTTCTGATAGTGATTGGATTGTTTGTAATATTTTTTTTCAGTTGAATAGGAGCATTAGTTAGATTATCCAAAAAGAAAAGCAAAGGCGGATTGTGAACAGTTTTATTCTTAGGATTGTTCTTATCCTTTATTATCGCTAATATCACTAGTTGGTTTATTAGTGATGATGAAAAAGAAATCAATAGAGAAGAAAAAAAAGTTTGATGTAATGTTTGTCATTACAAATATCCAGTTGACTTTATAGTTGCTGAAAGTATGAAAGATGGCAAGGTTTGTAGATATTGTTTAGATAAAAAGCATAAAGAAAAGAATAGTTAATTTTCATATGATCAAAAAATATCTCGAATTACAAAATGGTTAGTAGTTTTTGTGCTAATTGTAGAAAATTAATTCCAAAAGGTAAAGAAATAGCATTAAATGATTTAGAAATTCCTAAATTTTGTAAGGGTTGTTGAGAAAATATTGTTTTAAGATGTCATACCTGTAAATGACCAATTTACAAAAATGGTTTATTTTATGAAATCACTATTAGTCGAGGTGTCGAATACTTCGTTAATGCCAAGGAAGAAGAAAAGAAAATTCAGTGCGGTTCATGCTATCATAAATGGTTAAAAGAACAAGAAAATAAAGAAAAATGGAAGTTGGTATTATTATTTCTTTTAATTTCTTCTATATTTTGTTTGTTATTCGTCCTTCTTCCTTTGTTTTATCCAAAATTAAAAGAAAATTGAAGAAACACCAAATCAATTGAACGTGGAATTTTGATAGGTTTGTTAATTTTTATTCCAGCTATAACTTCATACTTAATGGTTCAAGAGTTTAGTAATAGATACAAAATTAGAGAAAGAAAAGGTTAAAAAATATCAACATGAATAATAATAACAGCAGTTTAGAAAAAGAGTTTTGTTCTAGATGTCGAATAGAATTTTATAGATATGAAATGGTTAGGAGAAAAAGTGAAAAAGGAGATATTCAATGACTTTGTATTTACTGTGCTTCAAAATATTATCGCTAACACACGATTGTTTAACTTCTAATTAGAAATTAATTGTTCATAACTCAAATTTTTACCTACGCTTGCTAAAAGTGCTAAATCAAAAGTTTCTTGGGTTTTAAGTCTTCTCGCATTAAATCTAAAAGTAAATTCACCTACATACTTTGGTAAATGCTCTTTACTTACTTGGTGATAAACTCCATAAATACTTCTTTTTAAACAAGCCCAAGCACTTTCTATCGAATTAGTAGTGATGTCCCCTTTGACATATTGTTTAGTGCTATGATTTATTCATTGATGATTAAAGTTTGTGTGTAGAAATTTACTATGTCTATACCATTCATCAGAATAAAGAATAGAGTCTTTTTTGATGCAATCTTGGATTATTGGTTCAAGAGTTCTATATTTCGTATTAGGAACAACTTCACAAATTAAATTTCCATCTCTTGCTAACATTCCCAAGACAGGAGTTTTATCCGCTCAACTTCTTCCCTGACACTTTGGAACTTTTTTATTCCAATGACGATTAGGATTAGCACCTCCAATAAGTGTCTCATCAATCTCAACAACTCCTTCTAATTTATCTACAAAGATAGGGCTTTGAAATGTATATCTTAAACGATGTAAAACAAATCAAGCACTTTTTTGAGTAATACCAGTATCTTTGGCTAATTGATGTGAGGAAATCCCTTTTTTGCTGATGGCAAGTTTATATAAAGCATAGAATCAAGTCTTTAAAGATATTTTGGAGTTCCTAAATATTGTTGTAGATTTAACAGTGAAGTATTTACCAGTATTTTCGCACTTGTATCGATTTTTAACACATTTATAAACTTTGGAAGAGGAGTCAAAGGGTGAAGCAGGAATTTTCCCTTTTCACAAAACCTTTTCTAAATATTCGATACACTTCTGTTCGTTAGGACAAGTTTTTAACAGACCGAATAAGCTTTTGAATTGGAACATATCCTTACTATATAATGAATTATATAGTATTTTAATTAGGGTTAAAGTTTGAAAATTAAAGTTATTGTATAATTGTATATTAGTCCCATAAATTAATATTACACTAAAAATTATTAATAGGCCCAAATCGCGCAATTGGTAGACGCAACGGATTCAAGACCCGTTCAGTGTCGGTTCGAGTCCGACTTTGGGTACCATAATTTATCAAAATTATACTAATCCAACGATTTGAGTATACTTCTGAACTGATTTTTTTCACAAAATTCTCGTAATTTTTTATTATTTTTTCACATTTCTCATTGGAAATCTCAATTTTTGTATTCTTCCTGCGAAAAAGTAATATTTTTTTCCAATTTAATAATACTTTTGTTAAGATAAACGATTTCCTTCTGATTTTCCAATATTTTCTTAGTATTTTCTGGTAGAGTTACTATTTTCTGATAAACATTTTCGACTGTTTGGAATTGTTGGATTAGTCTTTTAGCATTAACTGAACCTATCCCTTTCACTCCCTTAATATTATCAACATTATCACCTAACAGGCTTAAATAATCAACATAATTATTAGGAATAAAACTATATTCTTGGTAAAAATTTTCGCGGGTAAAAACAGTCGATTTTCCTTCGATATATTTTAAAACATTAACATTTTCATCAAGCAATTGTAATAAATCCTTGTCACGAGTAAAAATATCCAAAATTATCGAAGAATCACCCTTAATCTTTTTGTCAACAAAAGAAGCAATTAAATCATCTGCCTCATAATCGATCATTTGAATTAGAGTAATTCCGCTTTCTTTTAATAAAAATTTAAGAACTTCCATTTGTTCTCATAATTCTTGAGGCATTTCTACTCTTTGAGCCTTATAACTAGCAAGGATTTTTTTTCGAAAATTAATTCCTCCTCCATCAAAAACTATCAATAAATTCTGATAATTTCTTTTTTTGAGAACACTAATTAAAACCCGCAAAAAGAAAAAAACTGTCCCATTACTTATTTTTCAAGATGCTTTTTTGGCAACATGATAAGAAGAATGAAGTAAATTATTACCATCAACTATTAAACCCCTTTTTTCCATAATTGTTTTTGTGTTATTATATAAAATTACTTATTACTTTATGAATATAATTTGTGGCATAACCAAACAATATTTTCGAACTGATCTACCTCCTTTAGAAGTTGGAGACAAGGTGGAAGTTACTACTAAACACATTAATCCAAACGAAAAAACAAAAAAAGACGAAAAGGAAAAATGTCGTTTAACTCATTTCAAAGGAATAGTAATAACAAAGAAAAACCCTGGACAAATTAGTTATACTTTTTCGGTACTAAAAGATAACAAAGGAAGTGATAAAGTAGCTATTAGAAGTATTTTTTCTTACCATTCTCCTTTTATAATAAGTATCAAAAAATTAGGCAAAATTAATCAAAAAGTTCGTCGAGTTAAATTATATTATTTAGAAAGAGAGTTAACTGAAAAGAAAGATAACGAATAAAATAAATTTACTTTGTTTATTTACACTTGTTATTTAGAAAATGAGCAAGGAGGGGCAGGAAACTAGATAGAAAAATTCTTTAATTTATTCGGATAAAAATTGAGTGAATGTTAGTAGAAAAAATAATCCAGGAGAAAAAAGTTTACAAAAATAAAAATTCTAATAAAAGCAAAGAAAAATTAACTTATTTTGCGAAGGATAATTTTTGAAGCAAAGAATTTTTCACTACTGCTTCTTCTAATTTTTTAAATAATTTTGAGTCGAGCGAGGAAGCAACAGTAATTAGATTGCTAAAAAAAGAAAGATTTATTTGTTTAGGGAAAACTGATTTAGATGAATTTGCTTGTGGAGGTTCTGGTTTGTTATCAAAAAATGGTATTCTTGTTAATCCTCATAACACTAAACATGTAGTTGGTGGTTCTTCTTCTGGTTCTTCAGTGGCGGTAGCCAAAGATTTAGTGCCTTTTGCTCTTGGCAGTGATACTGGAGGTTCAGTTCGTTGCCCGGCATCTTATTGTGGAATAGTAGGTTTTAAACCTTCTTATGGTCTAATTTCTCGTTATGGCTTAATACCCCTATCCTCTTCCTTGGACACTGTTGGAATTTTAGCTAAAAATATTTCAATTACCAAACAAATTTTTTTAATAATTAACAAAAAAGATCCTCATGATTTATTAACAGTTACTAATAAAACTTCTGAATCAAAAAAAAACATTTCTAAAACAATAAAAAAAATCGCGATTATAGAAGGATTAGAAAAGCATTTAGAAAGAGATTTAAGAAAGTTATACAACAAGAAATTGGAATTTCTTAAAGAAGAGGGATACTTGATTGAAAAAATAAAATTACCGAAAAAAATACGTGATAATTTACAACTTACTTATTTGATAATTTCTTGTAGTGAACTATTAAGTCATTTAAACTCTTTGCAAGGAATAACTTATGGAGGAGATGGGGATATTTCTATTAAAGAAAATAGAAGCAAGTATCTGGGTAAAGAAATTAAAAAACGCTTGTTAATGGGCGCTTATTTTTTAGAAAATCCTCATTTTTTAGAAATAGCTAGAAAATTACGTTCTTTAACGAATAACTGGATTAAAAAAATTTTCTCTAACTATCAGTTTTTAATTTTTCCTAGCATGAATAGTCCAGCACCAGAAATCGAAAAAGTCTCTGCTTCTTTTGCGGGAAGTGAAATAGTTCATTGAAGCGATAATTTATTGCTTTTAGCTAATTTTTCTGGAATTCCCTCTTTAAGCTTACCGATTGGATTTGCTAACAATCTACCAGTTAGTATTAATATAAATGGTACGCTTAGAAATGATAAAGAAGTCTTAGAGTTAGCAGAAAGATTAGAAAAATTCTAAATGTATAACAATATTTTTGGGAAATTAGCAATAATATATTATATATAAATTAGGCATTAAGTAAGATATTTACACTAACTATCTGACCTAACATAAA